TAGCAACAATTTAAGAAGTTGATCCTTTTAAAGCAGCTCATTTCCTGAATTAGACATTCCAAGTGAACTGCTTTGTACTGAGCTAAGCTTACACTACTTTCCATACTCCAGGCAATGAAATCAAATGTCAGATCAGTCAGTAACTTTTAAGGAAAAAGAACGGCCATGGAAGAAGTTACTTCCTTTCCAATATATCTTATCTGCTGCACAGGAAGCAAACATTCAAGCTACTGAGCAGAAAGGATTCTTAGATGCATACTGGAAGATCACATCAGAGCTTGCATTTAACACTTCCCCTCCACACCACACACATTTTTCTACCAACTGAAATCAAACTTTCAACTTTATGTAACAGCAGCCAAAGTGGAATTTCTCTGCTTTTGTCTGTTTTACCCAGAATAGCTTGTGAACTTACCGCTCATTTTCCACATACCTGTCAGGAGCTACAAAAGGAAATAACATGACAACATAGAAACACACATTTAGGCAACACAGCACTTACTTCCTTCAAGGGTCTTTCACTTAATTTATTTTCCAGAGCTGCTAAGTCCACTCACTGGAGACCATTAAGATCAGTATTTACACAAGCACTACTTATAAAGGTTCTCACAGTCACCTTAAAACTGCGTTTGAGTGGAGGAGAAATTACAAATTGATCCTCCCAGTGCATCAGAGACTGATGGAAACTATGTATCTGCCTGCGCATAAACAGGGGTGCACAAGATAACCAACCTAAACAGCAAGGGGCAGCTCTAAGCAGTGCTTCACAGACAAGGCCCCTGTGCTATACACCAGTCAATTGAAGCTATTCAAAAGGAAATAATACTGGAGATGTTGGTTTTTTGGTATCATTTCTAACAGTTCCTAAGCTAGTTATTTCAAATAAGCTCATTAAAAACAAAAGAATTCAATTCAACCTGGAAAGCGACTGGAGATTCTTTCTGGAAGCTAATATTTTCAGCAGGAGAATCGTAATAAGAACCACAAATTCTTCAACTCCATCCAATGTTCCAGTCTCAGTGCTGATAAAGTATTCATGCTGGTTAGGATACTGACAATGCAGAATCTCAGACATTCCTCACCAGCGATTTTCAGATAAACTTCCAGCGGTCTGCACTCCCTTGAAGAGATGGTCTCAGATTTTATTTGCAGACAAAAGGATTTGGATAAGGCATTAAGCACTGCAACTTACTTTTGTATGGCATCTATTAAAACTAAAAAAAAAAAAAAAAAAAAAAAAAAAGCTTATTTCCATTATAAGACAGTTCTACCAGCCCCCCCTTTGCAGATCTCACTCTACATTACTATAAAGGCATGCCTGTTTACAAGCGCCTCCATCATTAGGACAGCAGTCAGACCAGCATTCTGAAGGGTGCCAGAAATTAAAGCAGAAAAGAAAATTTTAAGAAAAATGCAACTTGTCTCCTCAAGTATGTTGTGTTAAACACAGAGGAAAGTTGTACTTCCAGATAAATACTCAACGTTAAAAACCTGTTTTGAACTGTAAAGATGATCTAAGTCTCTAACAAAAGAAAATAAGAATCTAATCTTCTACCTACTTGCCACTAAAGCTCATCACCAGAAACATAACAGATTTTAAATCTAGCTACAAATTAAATGCAGCAATGTACTTGTTTCTTTTTTCCTTAGTCGGAGCCAAAATCCTCACTAAAAACATCACAACTTCCTTCAATGGAAGACTACATTTCCTTCTACATTCGGTTTCCTTTCCCTTTTTCTGTCCCCTTCTCTTTCTGATGCCCCCAAGGTCTGTCATTTTACTGCAGTGCTGGATATCTTTCCTACAAACCTATTTGCTTTGCTTCTCCTGAATTCTTCTCCCCTCCTATCAAGTAAAATCCTATCAAGTTCCAGATAACCAGAACACACATGGTCTGGAGGACACACTGCATTACTGCCTGGTATTCTGATTTCTTCACAATTTGCCCTAGCAAGAAACTGCTTCCCACTTTTCTAAGAACAGTGATTTTCACCTTGAGAGCCCCAAATGCTGTTACCTGTCATCTTTCTTAAGTGCTTTACTAAAAGGATGCTTTCTGCCCACAGAGCTACAGTCACTATCAGGGAGGCAAGTTCCACTGCGGTGAAGAGTATTTTCCCCTTCCTCCCCACCATTGCCTTTCCCCCCCCCCCCTTTTTTTTTTTTAAGGATCTCTAGAAACACTGAAGAGAGCTTCTCATCACAAAATCACAAAATCAGGGTGACTGAACATTACCAGAATTATTTCCACATTAAACGATGGAAGATGATTTGTATGTTTTCAAACCTAAAAGTACAGATGCAATTTGAATACAGCATTATCTTGGGGTGACACAAAAATGACACCACTTACCTGTCAACATGAACATAGAATAAAGAGCGTGAAGGTGGGCACAGAGTTTTGAATAAACAGAGCACCGTTACAGTTATAAGCAGCTGTTAGTAGCAGCACTCAGTGATCACACACCCATTCCACCCCCACACTACAACGCAGCACAGGTGGTAGCACACAGGAACAGTTTCCCACTAAGGAGCACAGAGACTTCTCTGTAGAAAGAGAGTAAATGGCCCAAATTCAAAGCTAACCAGAGCGAGACCATTACATGCTACGGGCTAAGCTACGATGCACATCCACTTCTGAACCGCTTTAACATCCAATACACATGTTCTTTGTTCTGGCCTATTTTTATTATTATTTAAGCAAAAGCTCCCTGATGCATTGAGTGGTAGTTAGCTGTTCCACTATATGAAATGCAAACACTTTGTATTTTGTGTTGATTAAGCCCCTTCCTCTTTCTTCCCACCCCTTTCCAATCACACACACGCACACACACACTCCCCATTCTCATAACCCAGCACCCTGTGTCACACTGCCTAATCCTCCAGCAGCCGCACCACCACGATCTGCTCGGCACTCCAACTGGAGAGCAGATGGCTTAGCACTGAGTGCTGATTAAAAAGTCCACCCCTGCCACTCTAAGAAAGTAAATGTAGTTTTATCAATACATTTGTCATTTTTACCGACTTCAGTAAATGCATGACACATCCACAACACAGTCAGGCATACATTTTTCAGAGCTACCGCATGAGTCCTGATTAGGAACTTCAGAATGTCAGCTTCCTCCTAAAGGGGTAAACACAGCTGTACACAGACAGACCAGGCTGCAGCAATCCCTGCAGCCTACATTGGTACCCGAGGTGAAAGTGAGCTACTACATTTTAAAACAGAACAAAAACACACCAGCCCAAGTGCATGGAGGGAAACTAGCTCAAGTGTTGGTTTATTTTTTGTTTGCATTAAAAAAAGACACAAGTTCCAGAGCACTGGAAAAGCAATGTAACTGAAGCGTCTCTCACTTTCTGACACAGACAAAAAGTTGGGAGCAGCAGCAGACAGGTCAAAACTTGTGCTGCAATTACCACACTTATGTATTTGTCATATTTCCCATGAGTAAAACCAAATGAACCTCGCCTCATAGAAGCATTTATATCAGCAGCTTTCTCTGGGTGGAGCAAACAACTCGGAAGAGTAAATACACATTAACTCATATTCCCTCACATACCAAAAATAACAAAATGCTTTAAAATATGACTTTTTAGCACAGTTTTAATCCAAGTATAAAACTCACTTAAAAAAAAAAAAAAAGATTTCACATTGAGTTGTTAAAGCTTTATTTTCAGATTCACTGTTCCATTACTATAAGCAGTAAGACAATTCACTGACAACACTAGATGCCAAAGACATGAATAACCTGTATTAAGTGCTCACTGCAGGTAATCCTAGAATAGCTTCGGTTGGAAGGGGCCTTAAAGACCACCCAGCCCCACCCCTACCATGGGCTGCTTCCCACCCAGCAGCTCAGGCTGCCCAGGGCTCCATCCAGCCTGGCCTTGGGTGTCTCCAGGGATGGGGCACCCACATCTCCTTGGGCAGCTGTGCCAGAGCCTCCAATACACGAGTAATCCACTATTATGTTCAACAAGTTCACTGCACAAGCAGTGCTTCTATTAAGGAAAAAATTTTTGGGAAAGAAAAACGTCAAGGAAAGGCAAATAGAGGTTTCATCTGAGCATTTCCTGATGGTTCCACATCCACACTGGTATGGCTATACATACAGGCTTACTTTCAGAGTTGTGTGCTGCAAATCTTGACCAAAATAAATAAATAAACAAATAAATAACAGTAAAGCGTGCTGGAAGTAGTTTCACTAAATCAGACCTAAAGGCAGAGCAGGAACCACGGGCCGTACAGGAAAGAAGCCCACGCCGAGCGCTGGGGACACGCCGCAGCCCCGGAGCCTCCTACAGCAGCAGCAGCAGCGGGCCGCGATGATTGCTACAGGATGTCGGATCGCGAAGCCTCCCAGAAGCACGGATTGCCATTTTGAAACACCACATCACGCCTGCCCGCGAGTGCCTGCACACGGGCGCTTCCCGCTCCCGCACGCCGCCCGTTTCGGCGGTCGGCCCCGCGCTGCGGCACGCCGGGACGGCGACCCGTGGCCCGAACGCGCCACCACCACCGCCGATCCCCGCAGAGGACGGCGGTGCACGGTCCCCGCCGGGCTCGGCCGCGGCGCTGCGGATGGCGCGAGGCCGCCTCGCCAACGGCCGCCAACCGCCGCCCCGGGAGGGCAGCCCCCGAGGCGCCGGCTCCGGACCGGCCGCGCGGAGAGGATCGCAGCCCGCCCCCCCCCAGCCCCCGTGCCCGGCCCGGGGAGATCTCCGGGATGTGACTCATAATGAATACACACAGAGGGGGAGGAAGGAAAAAATAAATAAATAAATAAAAGACACACCCTTCTCCGAGCCGGACTGACATAATAACCCCCCTCCCTTCTCCTCCCGAGCCGGGGTGGGGGGAAGCCGGCCGTTCGGCAGCGAAAGTTGAAAGAAAAAGCAAATCCGGGGGAGCGGCGCGCTGCCCCCGAGGCGGCTGGCGGCTCACGGCTCCGGCCCCGCGCACCCCGCCCCGCAGAGCCGCCCCACCGCCCCTCACCTGGATGTAGTTGTTTTCGCAGTAGTCGGCGACTCGAGTGAGGTTCTGGTAGCTCTCGAGCAAAGCCCGCTTGCCAGAAGGGATTTCCTCCTCTAGTAACATCTGCAACTCTGCCATTTTCCACCCCTCCGCATCGCTTCCTCTTGCATTAAAGAGACAGCGGCAGTGCCGGGCTCGCAACCCGCCTGGTATTGTGGGATTCCTCCTCGCCTCGCTTTCGTGAGCGCTCGCTTTCCCCACCCATCCTTCCCTCTCCGAGGGGAGAGAAAAAAAAAAAAAAAAAAAAAAAAGCAGAAAAAAACCCGCCCGCTCTGCAGAGCACGCCGGGAGCTGTAGGCGCCGGGCTCCCCACCGTGCGCATGCGCGGAGTGGGGTCGCTCACGGTGCAGCGCCGCCCGGCGGGGAGATGGCGGACGGCAGGGTTGGGCTGTGTTGCGTCACCGCTTGTGTCCCTGCCCCAGCGGCAACAAAAGCCCCAGATCCACTCGTGCTGTGCTGAGGCAGAGTGGGCTCTTTAGCAGAGGGCTAAAGGCTCCATCGGGGAAGCGTTGCTCTTGTAGAAGGTTCGGAAAAACCTCTAAGTCCTACCCTCATCCTCCCTGTGCCAGTGCTGCATCTACCCTTTTCTTGAACGCCTCTCGGGTGACTCCACCACCTCGCTGGGAACCAATTCCAGTGCCTCACCACTCTTTCCGAGAGGTTTTATCCAACTTAACTCCCCTGGTGCAACTTGAGGCCCTTCTCCTATTGCTGCTACCTGGGAGAAGAGGCTGACCTCCACCTTAGCACAACCTCCTTTCAGGCAATTGGAGAGAGAGAGAAGGCTTCCCCTGAGCTTCCTCCAGACTGGACAACCCCAGCTCCCTGAGCCACTCCCCGTAAGCCTTGTGCTCTAGACCCCTTACAGCTTTTTTCCCTATCTGCGGATACCCTCTAGGGCCTGAGTGTCTTACAGTGAGGTGCCCAAAACCAAACACAGTACTGAAGGTGTGGCCTCACCAGAGCTGAGTACAGGGCGATGATCAGCTCCCTGCTCCTGCTGGCTGCACTGTTTCTGATACAAGACAGAATGCCACTGGCCTCGGCTGCTTGGGCACGCTGCTGGCTTATGTTCAGCTGAGTATTGACCAGCACTCCCACACCTTTTTCCTCAGCACAGTCTTCAAGCCACTCTACCCTAAGCCTGTAGCACTGCATAGGATTGATGTGACCAAAGCACAGGACTTGGCACTTGGGCTCACTGAACTTTGTCACGTTTACTTCAGCCTATCATTATCCTGCAAGATTCTGCCTCCTGTCAGGTTAGGATAAGAAATTTGTAAAATAATGACAATTGGTGGCACGAAATGGCTAAAACAACAAGAACAATGCGGTTAGGAGGTATTTAGTGCTGTGCAGAGGCCCTGCCCAGCTGATCATCCTGTAGGAGAGGGTGAGAGGCTGAATCTGAGCTGTGGAGGTCCTTGAAAACGGCTGCCCAGAAGTGGCAACTGACCATTAGCTATTATCAGTTTGTAATATATAAGAACTTAAGTATTTGTCTGAGGTAAATTACACGGCTGTTCTGAAAGTAATGTCTCCTATTTCATTATGTTGGCCCACACCACCAGAAGTGGATGTTGTTGGTATGGAAGCAGCGGTCAACCCTTCCCACCAATATTCTATTACATTTTGTTGCTGTGTGACAGATGGCAGCAGAGGGTCAGTCTGACAAAGTGGCATCTGGCATGGAAGTGCAGATGAAACAAAGATGTGTCACTGAATTCCTCCATGTGGAAAAAATTGCACCAAACAGTGGATGTGAGCACAGTGAGGCAGTGAATGATTTGTTTCAACAGTGGTGACAGTGAGTCACCTCTGCTGGTGCAGATTTTTGAGAGCATGACATGCAGGCTCTTGTTCTTTGCTGGTGACAGTGCATACCTAATGGTGCTGACCATGTTGTAATATAGTTTTTTGTAGCTGAAAATCTATCAAAATATTATTGCGCTCTTTGTATCTGTTGTTTCCATGGAAGTAAATAGGAGGCATTATTTTCAGAGCTACATCAATCCAGACACTCTCTTACCTCATCTATTGTCATTCAGGACCTCCTGTGGTTGGTGCAGAAGTGTGCAACGCAAGTGGCTTGTTATTCTTTGGGACAATTTTTCTTGCATATCTTTGGGATTTTTTGTAAGTAAAATCCTGTTTTCTGTGATCATACCAGACAAGAAAGCAGTAACAGCAGGTTGTTTCTATGTGGGGATGGCTGAGCCTGCCTTTCCAGTGAGTAACAGGCCGAGGAGAAGCTGTTTCCAAGGATTGTTACTCATCTCTTGGCTGTGCGTTTTGTACACACAAAAGCAACTGCTGTCAGTCTGTATGCTTTATTGGTTGTCCCACAGAAACTCACAGTAGTGAAATATCAACACATTTCAGAAAAATAGTCTGAAATTCATCACAGTAAGGGCAGAGAGCCTCATCTGTCTGCACAATTGTATATCTCACATGACCACCAGAGTCCATCTTGTGTTTGCAGTGCTGAAGCTGCCCTAGTCTGGGCCACACTGATGGTGTCTCTAAGTCAAGGTGGAGAGAGGAGAACATCTGCTTCCCTCCAAAGTCAGCAAATCCAGCTGCACGTTTGGAGCCATGGAAGTGAGGGTAATAGCAGGAGCCCAGGAAGGCCTGCTGGGCTCTGGCGGGACCTCATAGTTCTCATCTGGGAACAGACAGGTGCTTGAATGCTTGAGTTCCCTCTGGGGCAGTGGAGGGTGGAGCTGGTGCACTCACAGCCCTTGTTGTGGGATGGATCTGTACTGCTGTCTTCAGATGGCTGGTTCATTTGTCAGCTTAGTAAAATTATTTCCAAAGTGGTTTCAATAACTCTCTTTTGGACAGCAGGTAATTTTCAACAAAATATTTTTATTTTGGATTCCAAGTGCCCTTTTAAGGTAAAATAATTAAATTTGACCTGTAACAGCACTGAGATATAGATAAGCCTTTAGTGTTTCCCAGGGTAAGTTTGATCAGAAACCATCCTGGGCATTGACTTCTCCGGTGATCATAATACAAAGGCAAATTTGATTTCTCTCTTCAGTTAGGCTATGAATTCCTGTTGACTTGGATGAGCCTATAATTGCCTGCAGATCACAGACTGGCTTCATTGGAGCTGTTAACATCCTCAAGCAACACAAATGTTGTCAACTCTTCTTAAAATGTTATTGCTGCCCCTGAACTAAGAGATGGAAGACACGTGGGACATTGTGCATTGACTTTTTTCAGTATAGAAAACTCAGCAGTGTGTGTTTTGTTAAACAGACCGTGCTTCACTTCAGCAGGCAACCAAGTCCTGCAAGCAGACACAGCTGCAGCTGAACAGAGCAGCGCTGGCTGCCAGGCAACTCGCCCACCTCAAACAGCTGAGCAGAAGCTCGAGGGGGCTCCAACGAATTTCCACCCAAAAGCCCTTCAACAAACAAATGACGCTCTGCCTCAAACTGCGCTCTTTGAAGACGCCATCAGAGAGCGCCACCTCGTGCCATCTCCCACGGCACAGAGCCTCCCTGGCGGCGGCGGGGTTAGCCCGGTGGGTGGGTGGACCTGATACAGGTACCCCCGACTCGCCTCACGCGGAGGTAGCTCACTTCTAGCGGGACATTTTAACTTAGTGCCGTACTCATTGGGAATCCTGGTGCAGTCAGGCTCAACTGTTCAGGTGAGCAGCCTTAATAGCTGTTGCCCCTGCTGGTTCTCCTTGCTTTCAGAATGTCCCTTCTGGGTCACCTGAAGATCTCTGCACTGTGCTCCTCATGCCTGAGATTCTCAGAGTTTGTATTGACTTAGATGTGAATGTCACAGGCTGGTTCCATGAACACACGTGGTGCATATGGGAAGTGATTTTCAAGTAACTAAAAGTATGGGGCCATTTGAGTGGCCAGGCTGTTAGCCAAACCCAGCAGAACCAACGCTGGAGCCAATAAAATTTTGGACTTGAGTTGACCCTTTCTGAAGAACACTAATGTATGTCTGAACTGCATTCAATAGATTGCCCCCTAGAAATGGTCTTATTCTTTTGTTTTGTTTTAATTAATCACACTTATCCACTACTCCAGTAAACTGCTGATTGTAAGGAAATGTTAACTAACTTACTCAAGTTACATGCAAGTCTGTAAGAAAGCTAGTTTTCCTGGCTGGGGAGTCTGGCTGATAGAGAAAAGAATGTAATGATGCTTCTCAAGCTCCACTCAAATACCCCATAAATGAGATCCATTAAAAGTAAACTGTGCATATATACCATTCAGCATCTCAGCTGTCTAAGATTTGCTCCCTCTCAGTGGGACAGGCTCATTTCCAAGGGCACTTCTGAAATGTAGCCCATTTTTGACTGGGAGAAAAATGTAACTCTAAACCCACCTATTTAGAATAGCATCAAAGTAGTAGCATCAAAGCAACTTCTCCTGCACTGTAATTTGTGTAGCTCTATAGCTGTTCCATTTTCTAAGAATGTCTTTGTTTTTCTGTTGAGAACAGTTCTCCCTTTACAATAGTGTCAATTGGAAAATGACAATTTATTTTTTGATGGTCTGTTTGCTGGATCAATTCCTGGTTCAGCTGTTTAGCTACACAAGCACTTTTGACAGTGGAAAGGGAGCTGAGGGATTTGAGAGGGCAGCTGGAAGCACAGAAGCCACGAGGTCTGTTCAGATCAGCCGCATCAGCTCTTCTACCAGATGCCAAGCCTCATGCTCCTGTAAGAAGATTTTTGTTGATTACAGTGTTATTGACAATAGGTATACAAGTATAGCTGTTCTGGGACAATCCTGCATGAATATGTAACGCTATTTTTTTTTTCTGGGACCAAAAGGTATTTTGGTATCTTTAGTATTTCCTACATCAAATTAGAAGTAACCACCCAAGAAGCTACTTCGCTATGTTGGTTTGCTTTCCTGTCTTTCAGATCTAGTCCACAGAGCCTAGTAATTAACTATATTGATATTTCAACAATCATCAAAGGTTGTCGGAATATCGCAGAGAAAAATGGGACTGCTCCCACTTTTTGGAGGCATTTGTCAGGCTCTCTGCACTCTTGTTGGGCATCTCCATGTGTGCTCTTTTACAAGCAGCATTAAGATTTTTGTCACAGACGTAACAAGCAGCATTGCTCCCTTCTACCTAGCTGGGGGATCCGGGTACTTGAGTTAGGGCTGCACCCCTGAGCCTGGTCCAGGGCCCCTGGCACCCCCCTGCCAGTTGCTAGGCAGCCGTGAGCCATGTGCAGCGGAGCGCCAGCCAGGCATTGCTAGGCAGCCTGAGCCGCTGGAGAGCACAGAATTAATAAGATTCAAAATCGCTGCTTTGAGAATGCACAAGATAAGAGCAGCACAAAAATAAATAGTTCCACTGTATTTTGACGTGACCTATAATATATTTTCACTTGCAGGATTTTGTCTTCTGCTTCAACCTCATTTTTATAAAGCGTTCTCTGCATCCCTTCTTCATGCTTATCATCACTTTTCAGCAGTCTCTGATGTCAGCGATCCTTCCTCTGCTCTCATCCCCATGACCCTTTCCTCAATCTGTCATCTCAGCTGTTCCCCTCCCATGCTCTGCTGGATCCCCTGTTCCTTTGGCCTCTTTCACTTTGGTTTTCATTCTTTCATGTTCCCCAGCGCAGCCTCCAGGCACTAGATTGCCTCCTGACTTTACCTTTCCATTTTCGTTGCACCAACAAATTTGTCCCATATCTTGTTTCCAGCTCCTAATCTAAGCCCCCAGCGCTGTCATTATGCCCAGCTGCCCGTAACATGGTAGACTTTTCTTCTTAGTCCCCCAAAATGCAGCACATCATGCAGAGGAGTGCATGCAGTGCCCTAAAAGCATTGGAAAAGTGAAGGATCCAGGCTGTTGTGTTGCTGCCATACCTATGCAGAACCTGAAGAATGTCCATTTCTTTCTTCCAAGACCCAAACCAGATAATATAGATACTGTGGTATCTTGGTGACAAGTGACAAGATGGTTCTTATACCAGTAACAAATAAGGCTAAACTGTTCGGTTATAATAGCATCTCAAGGAAGGGCTGGTATAAAGCAGCCACATAAAGCAGTAGGTGGATATCTGGCTGTGATCCTTTTTACTTGCAAATCTTTTTTGGCCTTCTTTTATATCATGGCTTTGTGGGTGGTTAGTCTCAATATGAAAAGAAGCAATCCAATTGCAAGGGTAGGCACTGAGTGATAGTTTTCTGAATGGACCCATGCAGGTTTGGCCCAGACATCAGTTGGTAGGCTGGAATTTCCTGAAGGAATAGCTGTTGGAGAATGACAACCCTTTAAAAAGGAAGCTTTTCTTTGTTGCATACATACCCAATAAAATTTCCCCTGAGTAAGATTTCTCACTCTACGTAGAGCTTCTTATTGAAACCAGAGAGAGACTGTTCCCAGAAAAAGTAATATTCTGGCAATTAGCAGTGATATATAGAGGAATGTAGACTTGAAGAGGCAAGTATACCACGTCTCTGACTTGAAAGCAGGCACTGGGAGGTTGATGCCTCGTGTCAGCAGTGTCTTCGACTCTCGTAGTTCTTTGGAGTGAGCTTCCCTAACAGGAAAAAAAACACAACTCAAGGTCTTGAGAATGTTTTGAAGTCTCAAAATACTATTAGTACCATTTCTGTTCTGTTTTGCACCACTGGATAACAGCTATGAAGATAACACAAATGAAAATCTTCCCGAGTGTAATGAATGCACAAACCATTACGGGTTTGGTGGGGCCTATTTGCTCAGGTATTATTTACAGGGTTGTCACTCCTATAACTGCTTCCTAGAGATGTAGATCCTAGGATGGCTTCGCAAATTCATGCAGCACCGCATGGCCTCAGGCTAGTGGTGAAAACAGAGCTAAAAAGCTATTTCAAGATATACTTACTATATACAGGACAGAAGTGTCTCTGTTTGGTGTACCCTGGAGCATCCCTAATGGCAACAGCATCCAGGTTTTCCTATTGTCGTCATTTCCCAGTCTTGCATGACGCTAGGCAAGGGAGACTTGACCACTGTAATACCATCAGCTAGTTTTCGTATACACTCAAAATTAATTAGTTCACTGTCATGGCTATATCTAATTGCAACTCTCAGCCTAATTTATTTCCTGTCCTCATTACTAATTTTCTCCATGTTAATTGGATGGGTAAGACCCAGAATGCAGTAAACATCTAAGCTTCAGTTCTCATTGTCTCAGAGCTAACATTTGATCAATCTATGAATTCTTTTTTTTTTTTTTTTCAATCCATTTAAAATGCTTACTTACATTTTTGTGCCACAGTAAAAGAAATCAAAGACTCTTCCAAAGGTTCTTAGCATAATGCAAAACCTTAAAAGAATATATTAGTGCAAAGGCAGTTAAATTGCACAACTGCATAGTATTTGAGGAAATTTGAGCACGGACAGGAATTACTTTTATATATTTTCTATTGAGAAGATTGGAGTTTTTCTAAGGCCTGTGGTTTTTTGATGCAGATTAAAAGCATTCATGTTCCGTACTGATTAATTGGTATGCCTCTTTTGCATTTAAATATATACTTCATTGAATTGCAGTTTTCCATCACAAAGCAGAAAAGGAAAAATAATTAAATGATAACATCATGTTAGTGCAGAAAGAGTGTTATTTTCACAACAAAAACAAACATTTGACAGCAATTCTGCAGTGATAGTATTTTTCAACACAATAGTAGGATGGCAAAATAAGTCACAGTATAATAGCACTTTTTCTGTAAGTAAAAACACATTACGGATGTTGGATTTGTTCCAGGTCCCACTAAAACGGTAAGGCTTCAACTGGAAGTAATATTGAGTCTGTGGGGTTCAGCTGTGTTTGAAAAAGAGTATCTTCAATAGCCATTGAATCCAAAAGTAAAGGGATTGGATGCAGAGCAACTCTTGCATGCACTTGTCTACTGAAAATCATTTCCACACTAAGATAACAGTGACATCCTCCTTGGCATTGTCCTAGTCAGAGTCCAAACACAGACTGTGCAGATAATGAGGGCAAAAGTCATTACCCATAGACTGAGGCTATTCTCTGTTGGGAGCATTTTAAAATAAATCAGGCCATTTAGTGCATTTCAATGGAATTTAACGGCTAAGCACTGCTCAGAGTAAACATTTTTTTCTTTCTTGCTATGTTTCATTACGTAACAGGAACAATCTTTTGTGCCTGTGAGATTGATTACATGTCTCAAACCTAGCTGAGCTATTAATCAATCTCTGCAACCTCTTATTGTTTCCTGGAGCACAACGCAGTAAAAATTCTCCTTTAATTATCACTAATGAAAGTTATCTCCAGTGAAAGTGAATATGTGCCACTGGAAAATGACTTGGTTCAGAGGGCAGCAAATGCAAATATAAACTATCTTTATGATGCATAGGCACCATTGGAAGCAAATATGTAAATTACTAATGGCAGGTTCCTGCTATGCTCAACAATTTGGTGTCAACATTAGCTGTGAAGGTTTCAATTTATTTGAGCATAACCATAATAATCCCACAGTATTTTTCTGACCATTGTACTTGTTGAAGGGTTGGGGACTTTTAAACACTATCATGTAATAAATATATATGTATTTAATACTAAAAATGCTTCCGATATCATTTAAAAGGATTTGGAGTACAAAATGGATTAATTATTCTTGCCAGATCTTCTTATTAAATAACAAAACTGTCTGACTCTTTACTCTCTATCTGACATGTTTGTATTTCTTAAAATGTCTTTGGAGTATAAGGTGGAATCTATCTAGGAATCTCTCAGTGGAAGAGATCTGATAACAAAATATATCCATTTATAAACAAGAAAATAATGGCTACATTTCTTTAGTATTATTCTAACTACAAAGGAGATCAAGATGCTGCTTTAAATGGGAGATGTAGTGTACTGTAATGTACGCGAAATCTGTTGTTAAGCACTGCCTTGTAATGCTTTTTTTTCAGTTGGTTATACCTTTGCCAGTCTTATTTTACCCCTAATAGCACGCATTTCTACTTCAGGCTTTTTTTTTTTTCTTCAGGGAATTTATGAGAAAGAAACACTGAGAAATGCAGTCTATTTAACCCATTACAAATATTTCAACTGAGAGATTAAAGCACCAGCAGCCCTTTATTTTGATGAGGACTTTGAAGTTTGGCAGAAGGTAATTTCAGGGATATGGCTCTTGTTCCTTCTGAAAAAAACTGACAACATTTGGTTAATTTGTACGTTTCTAAAACCACTGTATGTGCATATTGTCAGTAGAGTTTTTAGCGTTAATATACATCTACTCAGAGACCAGTCTGCACTGCTGATATGTCTCTGTGCACTAAAAGGGCCAAGAGATGTTCTCTGCATTTATTCTTGTTGACTATACAGTATCACTGTGAAATAGAAGGATTATATCCCCCATCAGTGGATGAATATGTAATATACTATATGTCAATATGGAGTTAATAGCATTAATAAAATATACTATGTATTCATACTACATATATATATACACTACCAATTATTCCTGTTATATAGTGGTAATTTGCTGCAGGTCTAAACAGCCAAATCCTGATGCTGGTTTTGCTATTGGCCACATACTGGAGCCTCAGCAGGCTAAAGCAATATATTAACCAGTTAATTATCTAGTGGGCATATCCTATGCATGACCATCATCCTGTGGTCTCGTAGACAAGTTGATGTTTGGCTGTATATCATACGTACTTATAAAGGGGGCAAGTCTTTTTTGTCAGAGAAATTTGTAGAAACAGACTCTTTTGAAAATTCTTTTGGTTTCCAGAGAAAGAAAAAAATTATTTTGTCAGAAAGAATTGGGCTGAATATCTTCTCCTAAATGGCTAATATAAATAATTTTTTTGTTTTATTATTTTCATTGTGTGGCTTGAAAAGTTGCTCACCTGATTTCATATAAAAGAATTTGGTATTCAACTGCTCTCTTGTTCTGCATTATGAAGACAGCAGCAAATTTGACATATGGTGCCTCATCCAAAAGCATCATTTCTTTATAACTGAAAAAGCCCCATTTCAGTTAACTCTTTTAATGTTAGTTACAGTAGCCTCACACTGTCTAATAGTCTATTAGAACAATAAAGTTGCTAGAATGTGATTTACCATTACGGTTCTGTGATGGTTATAAATTACATCAACCTGTAACAGAAGCCTACATCTCAGGTCATTCTGTTGCTGCAGTTCAGCCGGAAGGCAGCTGGTGTTGGCCGAAGTAGCAGTGAGTCAGTGAGCCCGCTTCCTTCTGGCGTGACCACCGCTATCATGGCCACATGGCACGCTGGGATTAGGCTGGAAGCAACTAGCTCCTGCCTTGGTCCGTGGCAAATAACAGTATTCTATGGATCTGAATCTCTTATTTTAGCCCTTAGGCAGTATTAGTAAGAATTCAGAAATGACTGAGAAAGTTGTATATATCAGTAGAATATGTTGCTTTTTAGACTTTATAATTTCAAGTGTTCCTACTGAATATGGCCTGGAGCTTCCAATACAAAAGCTGTCAGACATTTCTACAGCTCTAAGGTACTGCACAGCTTCTGCAATCCTAAGGGTCGCATTGCCATATGACTTTTCACAGATTTGCATACAAATGTATTTTTCTAAGGTTTGGTGAGGTCATAAGGGAATATATTTGTTTGTAAGTGCCCAGGAATAAGGATCACAGCAACAATCTACTGATTCATGTTTATTCCATTGCTAAGGCTTATTCACAAAAAAAAAGATTCTACAAGTTATCTTGATCCATGTAAAACCATTTTAGTGCAAGAGCTTTTAATCAAATGAAAGGTGAGGTTTTGTTTCAAAGTACTGGTGGTTCACAAGGTACAAAAAATAAAGAGATTATTCATTATGAAGTGAGAGTTCTCTTATGCAAGGTTATACGGAAACAATTATATTGATTTCAAGTTCGTGCCTTAATATATGTTAAAAATCTCGTGACAGTAGACTGGCTTTGTTTGCCCCCACAAGCAGACGTTTCTTATCATTTATCTTCTGAATTTATGTTAGAAAACTTCAGAATAATGAGAGAGCATGTTTCACCCTCAGCTAGCATTTCCTTAAGTAAGCAATGCACTACTTGTTTTATGTAGTAGTGGCTGAAACAACTGGAAGTTAAGACATCAGCTGACTGTGGTTGATATAATTTATATTTCTTCACCTCTATTGGTTAATAATAAGACATTTTAGTCACAGCAAGGTTTATTTTGATATGAACTGGTAATCTGAAAGCTAATCTAAAGACACAAAGACAATACATGTCACCAGTTCTAGCTGCAGGGTTGGTTAGAATGATATTTCTTCCTTCTCAGTATTAATGACATTTGGAAATCTGTTTTTATGTTTGTTTATATTACTCCTTAATAAATCCAGGATAATTTTGCACATCTTCTCCTACCAATTAAAGTTATTTGGTTTTGTTCAGCCATTTCTCAACATCATACCTGTAGAAAGGAAAGGACAGAAATTTGTTTTCTGTAAGACACACTGTCTCATCTGTTTTTCAGGGAGGGTCACATTGCATTAATGAAGTGATGTCACAGCAAGATGAAAGAATCGATCCTATCTACTTACCCAGCCCAGATGTTTAGGACACACCTGACTTCTGTGTGGGTGTGAATGAAGGAACATATTTACCTCACATGTGCAAAGCCACAGTAAAAAAAACAACAACAACAACTGTGCTCCAGCAGGATGGGAGTACCTGTTACCATACCACCAAAGTGCTTCAGCTTCATTGTGGGAATCTAGCTCTTTTATAAACAGCAGTGTAACAAGCCCCAGTGGCAATCAACTGTGCCATGGGCAGAGAGGTTTCCTAAAACAGCTGCATAATGCAGGAGCTTCTGCTGGTGTGGTTTTGTAGCCCAAACTTGGCCCTTTTCACACCAAGAAAAATCTGTAGCCCTGGCTTTCTTAGGACATTTCAGCTGTTCAGCGGAATCCAGTTTATTCTGGTTGGAATGGGTAGAGGTATTTCTGAGAGCAGCTCCAGAGGCAGATCAGAGGGGCAGCAATAGGCGGCTGTGGGTATGGAGGAGGGGGTGACTTCTTCAGCCAGCTTGGAAGCCTCTGGCAGGGAATGTGTGAATGCAGACGGTGTTCATAGTAAAGTTTTAAAAATGCATTTACTCTATTAAAATGTAATCTAAATCAATTAAAAGGGTGAGCAATTTGAAAATTAATCATTTGTATCTATTTTGCTTTTAACTCCTGGCCTTTGACTAGAAGGGGAATTGAGTTTTATGACAGTGAGCTGACACCTTTGTTCTGTTGTGTGGTAGCAGTGATAATGGGAGGACGGGTTGGACTAGATCTTGTAGGTCCCTTCTGACCTTGTGATTCCATGATTCTATGCCATTCTACTCTTTTGAATAGTGCCTGATCTGTGAGCTAATCTGATAAATGAAGACATTTTGTGCCCTTTGTATGCATTTTAAAGAGCTTGAGTGTGCAAACACACTGCTCCGGATATGGTGGGCTCCATAAGAAAGCAAACATTTTGAGACATGAAACAGATGCAGACCAAAGGAAGTAAGGTCCATTTGCAATGAATGAACATGCACCACAGAGCTTCTTTCTAGGGTGAGCATGAGTCTTCCCTTTTAACAAAACTATTTCAAATGACTTTGTTTTCACAAGTTATTCCCAACCCTTTTCTATTCCTCTTCTTAATAATGTAAAGTGCCCAGGACTGTTCACATCAGGACTAATTCTGCTATTCTGCTTCTTTTTATACCCCAATTTCCTATTTAAGACCTGTGAGACAATTTCATATTTCCAATATCTGAGGTTAAAAAGTCATTATTTTGTCATTTCTGTGAGTGTTTGTTCTGTTTCCATCGCCTATACCAATTATGGCATGGGTTCTTTGATGAAATGATGCTGTAATGATGCAGCAAACATGAAACCCTTTCACAATATTCAAAAAATATCCATCTGTTAGTTCTGCTGTGGACACAAATCTGAGTAAAATAAGGATAAAAATAAAACACAAGGACAGTATTTCTGACAACCCAAGGCTCTCCTTTGTAAACGTGCACAGGACTTTATTTTACTATTGCGACATCAGTGGGATGCCCTGGTGGTGAGCTGCAGCACGTGCACAATCATAGACTTAGTTAGCTCAACAACTACTCTGTCTTCAAAAGACTCAAATTTGGGCTGTAGTTGCAGTGTTTTAGGATTTGTATCAGAAATGGTCTCTCATTCCTTAATATGTCTGCCATGCAGTTTTGGATTTGCTTACAGAGAAGATAGGGTATCTGTGGTGAAAGCAGGGTAGGCAGCCTTGTGCCTATTGCCACATGAGCTACAGCACAACCCAGCTAATTTGGGAATGAATGGACTATTTAATCTCTTTCTTTGATCTGTTCAATACACTGCTGATAGCAACAGCTAATATTGCACTGAATAATTCAATATGCATTATCACTGCTTTATGTTTTATGGATGTACAGATACGTGTATAGCTGATCTTTGCATTGTTTCCTCTACAATAAATCAGAATGCATTCATATATATTATCCAAATACTGGAATATTTGTAAACCTTTTTGAAAAAAAAAGTCAGTGCATAGTGTCAACAGTACATTTATCACTATATAGGAACATAGGCTTTGGGATAGCCAATGCTACTAATCAAAAGCTTTCCTTCGTAATACTTTAGATGTATATGTGCATATATAAGTAATTATATTCTAAGTTTTAATTTTTAATCTGGAAAAAACTCCTGAGCTGACATTTCATAGAGGCAGTGAAGCAGAAAAGACTTTTATGGGTAATACAGATCAAAATTCTAGAAGTACTGCCATGCAAAGGATTGAAAAAACATTCTGAAAGTTCCTCTTAAAAATGGTCTAGATAAATAAGTGAAAAAACAAAAGCAACTCCCTTCTGCAAAAAGTTATAAAGCGGGCTGAGCTGCTTGTAATGCAAGATTTGCAGCTGACAGACACTTATCTGAAGGGTTCATACAAGTCAAAAGTAATCCACAAAGAAATTTGTAGCTCTGTTTTAAAAAAAAACTTAGAAACCCAAAGCTCATCCCATCTGCAGAGTTTCAAAGAGACATGAAATGATACAACATCAGGTGAGCAAACAGAGCAACAAAAACAGATCTTTAATAATAGTACTTTAAGTGTATTTTTTTGGCTTACAGTAAAGGGAGAACAGAGAAGATCTAGTTATCTGCAGGTTCTAAGTTTAGATATTCCTAAATCGGCACATCCAGATTAGTCACATCCAAGAGTTCTAAAAGAGCCAGCAAAGAGCAGATTGTTAATATTAATTCTCAGTCAGTTTTCAAACACTGGAGAAATTCCAGAGTGCTTAAAGAATGCAAAGGTTGTGCCACTATTGAAAAAAAGATTAATAACCATCGTAGTCCTATTAGCTTAACATTGATCCCAGGTACGCGAGACAATGACCAACAGGAGATTCCATTAAGAAACAGTTAATGAAGGCTATCTTAATAATGCAAATAAATAGGAATGTATAGGGAAGTACACATATATTCAGGATAACTCAATGCCCTTTCTGTGAGGACATATTTGATAGATGAACCTGTCTGTCTGTCTTTCTATCTACCTACCTATTTATTTATACACCAACCTACCTATCTACATGTTTATCTACTACAGACTGCATAGCATATGTATTCAGATTTCTATAAAATACTCAGCTTTGCAATTAATTTTGATTGAAAACTACAGTAAAGCTCTAAAAAAAGACCACCGTGATTAGGAGATTGAAAAAAAAAAGTTACAGGAACAAATTGTCATGATAGAATAATCTGATGAGTGAGTTGCAAAAACAGTGTTACAGAAGATGACCACTTACACTTGGAACTGCACTTGTTGGAACAAAAACTTGAAGAGTACACACTTCTCACATGGGTCCTCAGCTACAAACAGGATATGAGAATCGTTACTTTTAGGCTCTTGACCATCTCAACAGTCAAAAGAGTCAACAGATTCTGGATGTGTGAATGGGAATATTGAATCTGGATAAGGCAGTATCTCATTCCTCAACTGCTTCTTTGATACTGATACAACTATTACTGCAGCATTGTACCTAGCAGTGGCACCTGTGATTTATGAAAGGAAGGACATAAGAATGAATTCGCTAAAGTGGAAACATCACTGAATTCAATTCCAAATAAAAGCAATAAATGGTCTGCTTAGTTTCTATTTATAAAGATTCATAGAAGAATTGTCGGTGAACCTTTCATGAGAATTGTAGTGAGCTGTGAAAGCCAACATGCAAAGTTACAGAAAGATTTTAAAAAACAAAAAACAAACAAACAAACAAAAAAAACCAAGGTAGGCAAATAAATGCAATAAATAGGGCATATTTTCATCATTCTCTTTTGTATGGCAAATTTGTAATACTAACATTCAGTTTCAGAATGTTTTCAAGTGATCTATTTGACCACCAAAGACCTGGGCTTAAGTGATGATGTAAGTGCTCTTTAATGGCTACATCTTTGGTTAAAGATTGATAATGGTTGCTGAGGCTGCCCTCTGCCCTCTTTTAGATAACTCAGTGTGACAAACAGACCTTGACAAAGTTTGTTTTCAGTCACGTAGCTGCCCAGCCTGCCACTCAGCTGGGGCTGCACGTATCTCTCTATGTACAGCAGACTGATTTGACTATAAATACTTTTTCAAAGTCTTCCATGGATTCAACAATGTTTTTCCATTGTATCTCAATTGTCTCTATTTCTTTTATTGTTTTCTTAGGAACCAAAAGTAACGTACCTTGAGAACTATTAAGCAGACTTTTTTTTTCCCCCTACTTTTTGGGAAACAAGAACTGACAGCTGTCTTTCCTCATTAACCTTTCTGGAATTTACAGAATCTTCAGTACCAAGGAAAAAAAACAACAACACCTAAGACATTTAATTACTTCTTTTGTCCTAACTATTAATCCAGTCATTTTCAGCTCTTATTAATATTTCATTATATTTTATTATTTCCCCATTTTAAATGGGAAAAACTGGAAGGTTCTTGTCTTATCAATTGCAGTTCACCTGGTTCCCTCACCTCACTGAAGCAGGCTGACCATGTCACCCAAAAGTCTGGAGCAGAGATGACTCGTCTGTTTCAGCCCAGAAGAAATCATCTGACACTAAAGACTGAAACAATTCCTGAATGTCAGATTTATTTCACAACACAGCTTCTCAGATAAACTTTATTGGATAATGGCTAGCACTAGGCCTAACCTGATTTTGAGGGTGAAAAAGCCATGGTATTAAAGCTGGCTAACTGCCACCGTGTTCTGAAGAAGTCAGGTTTTTTATAGGACTCATGGGGCAAGGGACCTGAGTGCTAATGGAGATTGTAATGAAGTAGTGTTGAAGCACCCAACTAAACTCAGTCTAAAGTCCTTTTGAGGGTTTGTTTGTTGGAGGACTTACTCCAGTAAATCACCCCTATCTGTTAGATCAGTTTGTTGAAACCCATTGACCAAGAATTCAGTGGTGTATTTTCTGCCGGAATAAATACACAAAAAGATAGACTCAGGACAAAAAACACTTGAATTCAGTCCTCCTTGCCAGTTGTATTCCAGGTTTTGTGTACTAGTAAATATGTTTCATGAAAATATTTCAGCAATATCATTTTTCAGAGTCTAGAAAGAACAATAACTTTCGTTTGCTAGAATTTTAAAAGAACAGGCCTAAACTAGGGATGTTATTTTTTATTTCCTTCCAGAAATTGCAAGAAATATCACAAGAGCTGTCTGGCTATAAATATGCCATTGCATAAGCACATTAATGCGATACAGCCACAGTATTTTGTTTGCTATTCCCACTAGGCAAATTACACAACGATAGGCTTCTAAAACTTTAGCTGCACTAGTAGCAAGGATAAGAAGTGCAAATGTCAAAACATAAAACAAAGTTCGATTTTCAGAATTAAATTCTACTAATTTGCATTATGAAAATGCGTAACACTATGAACATCCCCAAATCAACCAAGCAAGTCCAAATTTATATCATTTTAAATGACAACGCAATTTAACTACTGGTTACTACATTTTTTTACTGAAATAAAAGAATGTTTGTTCTGAGCAGTCTGCTCCTGCTGTTTATAAGAAGACACAGTCTGCCATTGCTGCAAGATGAAATTCTAAAGCTCATTTCTTGGCTGTGTACGGGCACTGGATTTTTTTAATGTTCTTTCTGGAATATGCGAAACCTGAACAATTCTGTTATTACTATCTGCTGGCTTTACAAGAATAATACCTTGAGGCATTAAGGAAAACTGAACTTTATTAAAATGTCATAAAAGAAATGAATAGTAAGTTTGAAGAAAAAAAGAAAGGCATTATACTTTACACCTGCACAGATGTAAACTTGTAAAAGGTTTCGACTTCATAAATAATATATAGTTAAATGCAAAGTCAAATGCTGCTAAATGTCTTTAGAAGTATAACAATATTTTGTTCTCCGAAAGATGTATTATGACACAGATTTGAGCTGATATTTCTGTTACTGCATCCTCTTCTTTGAAACACATGAGCTAGGGGGAGGCAGGTGGGGGAACAAAAACATAGCTCACAATATTGACTGCTGAAAGACCTGAGATATCTAAACTCAATATCTTGAAAGGGATTTAAAATTGGATATGTCATCTTTAACCCTTCTGGTGACATGGAGTCTTATCGTTAGGAAAAGTGGCCTAATGATTAAAAATAATTCCATTATTTAATCCCCAACTGTGAAATTAGTTGGTATTTCTAGTTGAGGAAAGTATCTGAACTTCACAAGAAAACTTCCACTCCCAAAGGCATTATTGTTCATTTCAAACTAGTCTTTTCCCCAAAGGGCTTTTCCTGAAGAACAGAGATTATCCTAACATGAGAAGACAAACTTCAACTGCTGTTTTTACAATATTCAAGGTAAGCAAATAGCTCTCTTTCTCCAGAGCTCTTGATTTTTACACAAATATCTTTCATAATTTCATTAAAAATCATGTAGTAAATGTCAACTGACACATTAGCCTTTCTGCTGTGAACAATGTAGAAAATTACTCCTTAGACTCCTTTGCTCTGTCCTTGGACAATATCTTTCCATTCCTCACAAGCATGTACATTTGAATTAGAAATTTTAATGCTAATTTAGTTCTTCATAATTACGACTATTAGTTTTTAAATAATTCATTCTCTCTCTGCTGGATTACATACTTCAAAAAGTAAGCTTCACTAAAATTACATGCTCTTGGATCTGGTAGCTTACAGACTTGCTCATAATGCATATGAGACTGTGGTCTACTTTCTTAAGCACCATTTAAAAATATTTCTGTGAAATACTCTGCTGTGATTCAGGCCCTTGAGGGAGCAATTGGCATAATTGGTTCCAGTTTCTGCTTTTCACTTGCATAATGTTACTGACTCCTTTGTCCCAGTAAAATGAAGGTGATCATAGGATCACAGAATATCCCAAGTAAGAAGGGGACCCATAAGGATCAAATTCAACTCCTGGCTTCACACAGGACTAACTAAAAATCAAACTATATTTCTGAGTGTTATCAAAACATCTTTGATCCACAGCAGCTTGGGACTGTGCCCACTGCCTGGGGAAGCTTGCTTCGTGCTCTCCAACCTCTGGTGGATAAAGTTCTTGGGTCCCCCACCTGACCGTTCCCTGACTCAGGTCCTGTTGCTGTCGTGCCCTCTGCTGAACAAGAGCCAGCAGTGTGCCCTGGTGGCCAAGGCCAATGGCGTTCTTGTGTAGCCCGCTGGAGAAGGGAGGTGATTGTCCCCCTGATACTCAGCTCTGATGAGGCTGCACCTTCAGTACTGAGTTTGGTTTGAGCTTTTCATTACAAGAAAGACATTGAGGCCCTGGAGCGTGTCCAGGAAAGGGGAAAAAAAGCTGTGAGGGGTCTGGAACACAAGTCTTATGAGGAGTGGCTTATAAGGAACTGGGATTGTTCAGTCTGGAGAAGAGAAGGCTCAGGGGAGACCTCCTCTGTCTCTACAACTGCCTGAAAGGAGGTTTGTGCTGAGGTGGTGGTCAGCCTTTTCTCGCAGGTAGGAGGAGAGGGAGCGGCCTCAAGTTGCACCAGGGGAGTTTCAGGTTGGATATTAGGAAAAACTTCTCAGAAAGAGTGGTGAGGCACTGGAATGAGCTGCCCAGGGAGGTGGTGGAGTCACTGTCTCAGGAGGTGATGTTGTACTAAGGAACGTGGTTTAATGGGCAGCATTGGTGGTAGGTGGATGGTTGAACTAGATGATCTTAGAGGCCTTTTCCAACATTAATGGTTCTATAATTCTACGCTGGTAAGTAACCAGATAGCAGCACTCAGCGCTGCCCCTCTGCTCCCCTCATGAGGAGCTGCAGGCCACCATGAGGACTCCCCTCAGTCTCCTCTGGGCTGAACAAACCAAGCAACCTCAGTCACTCCTCACAGTCTTGCCTTCCCTATCTTTGTAGCTTTTGTGATCTTCTGGGATGCACTGGAAGCATCTGCTAGAAAGTTAGTTCAGATCTGGAGTATAAATAAGAAGGACACTGAGGGACAGTGTCACCTTACATGTGGCATAGAAAGAGAAGGTACTTAGCACATCAGACCTTGATACACTGTCCTGTAGCACTGCTGGACTCAACAACCACCCCTAATCCGCCTGTGAAGAACAGGTCTGAGTTTATACTCAGGATCAGGATCTTGTCTGACTTTTCTTCAGTACCCTGTAAATGTTCTCCTTCCAGGACTAGAACAGCGCACTTGCATACAGGATTTCTTATCTTAACATTTCAAGAAATGCCTCATATTAGCAATTCACATACTCTCCTTTAGTGGACTATGAAGTACCAGCTAAAGAGAAGTGTGACAATAGAAAGTACTGAGACATGTCAAGTGTCACACATTACACACACTGCCAAACCACTCGTAGCAGAAAAAGGAAAAGGAAAAGGAAAAGGAAAAGGAAAAGAAAAAGAAAAAGAAAAAGAAAAAGAAAAAGAAAAAGAAAAAGAAAAAGAAAAAGAAAAAGAAAAAGAAAAAGAAAAAGAAAAAGAAAAAGAAAAAGTGAAAAAGAAAAAAGAAAAAGAAAAAAAGAAAAAGAAAGAAGAGCTGCTCATACTTACAATTGCTTTGGCAGCTGCTCCTGCATAGTGACAGAAACACAATCAAGTTGAACACAGAGATCATTATCAGATTTTACAAACGTGGTCATTCTGAACAGGTTCCCAGGAGATGCAGAAGATGTCAGAGAGTTATCAAATAATTTTGTTCCCTAAGTAATGAAGTCAAGGTCCCCAGATTGCGACAGGAATGTAGATCCACTCTTACCTTTGTGCAACAGATCAGAAGGCTTTCTTTATTACTTATGCTTCAAATCCAATTGTTGTTAACTCTACATGGAACTCACTACACTGAGAATACAGTATGTACACACAAGGACAGTTAATGGCATGCTAGTTAATATCATATACAAGCATTTAAATTAAATAGTCATTTCTGATGTGCTCTCAGAGGCTCACCAGCACTCATAATTTGCCTCTCATTTACTATTTCATCCATGTCTCAGAGCATGATGGTACTAATTATTTTGAGTTACTTCATTTTCAACTGCCTCATTCTGGGTTTACGGATCTTACACACCTTCAGTGCAAAGATGGCGGCTTCTGTTTTGCACACAGCCATTAAACAGGTTGTCATTTGCATCTCCTCCTCCCAGTGAAAGTCTGGGAAGCATTCATTATAAAAATGCAGACTGTCTTTCTCTTAAATCAATTAAATGGTAAATGTAATTATAGATTTTCTCAGGTAAATAGAATTTGCACATCATCTGGCCTCACAAGAGGACCTTCATTTCCTTATTACTTTTTTGCAGTTAACTCTTTGCACACTCAAAGAATCCATATTTATACAGAGACCCACTTATCTTCAAACAAACACTTACCTTTGATCTGTGCTTCTGTCGTTCCTACCTTTGTGGATAGAAAGGAAGTTGGATATTGGTATAAAACATACAAGAGTTTTAGAAATCTTCCACTAGGGATGAAAATTTCAGAGAAATTCTTCTGTAACAATTGTGTGAGTGGAGCAGTGATGTTTATAACGTGGGTTTGTCCTTTGCCCACTGTGGTGAATCCTGTCTGAACACCTCTGCAAGTGTCAGCTGCTCTCCAGCAAAGCTCTCCCTGGCCAGCTGGCTGCTGACCTTGTGGAATGAAGTAGCTCAGCAGAGCATGGGCTGATCAGCATTAATTCCCTCTCTGTGAAGCTTTTGCTTTCCCACCAGAGGGCACATACTGTGAGCGCACAACTGCCTTAAGAGGAATTTAAAATACATTTTAGTGTGTACCAGATATAGGAATTGACTGGAGTGCCAAGGTTTTGTACTCTGTGTGGAGAGGCTACTAATTCATCATGAGACTCACTGGATAAACTATTCCATTTGCTACAAAATCAGTTTTAGCATACTTTTGTCTGATCGTGTGTGCTGGATGCACAGTGCTTTTGGGTAAGGGCATTTGTTTAGCTACTGCGACAGCTCACTGTACCACAACAGCACTCATTCTGAACACCACAGCAATAGCCATTTCTGTGGTTCCAGGCTTCAAAAATTTAGGAATGGGATTTTAAATTAAGTAGGAGTCATTGAAAGTGTAACCACAGAGATATTTCAGCTGAAGTATGTGGAAGCGTATGGGGAGGGGGGGGGGGGGTAAGAGGCAACTGTGAGAGGGCAGCAAGCAGCAAGGCAGACGGATAGGCCAGCAGGGGATCCCCTGAAGGTACACGGTCAGCACCGTAAATGGGCTGAGCGTGACACATTTTGAACGTTCACACACATCCCGGCGTTGGAGGCCGCAGCGGACGGGCAGGCCGCGACGGCGAGGCCCACGGCGCCTCAGAGCCAGCCGGGCGCCGTGCCGTGCCGTGCCGTGCCGTGCCGTGCCGTGCCACCAGGCCCCGGAGCTGGGCGGTGGCGAACTACGATTCCCAGCGAGCTCCGGACAGCTCCGGGGCGGTGCGATGGGAGGGGAAGAGCGCTGCTGAGGGAGACATAACATGGGCGCCTAACGAGGGGAGGAAGGTAGGGGTGGGCCTTTGGCCGTACTAGGGGCGTTGGGGGTCGCGCTCGCTCTACAAGGCGAGGCCGGGCCGGGGCGCTGCTCTGCGTGCGTTGCACCGCGCCGCAGGGGGAGCGCTGGGAAGCGGGGCGGCACGGGCACGGGCACCCGCTGCCGCCGGGGGGCGGTGGGGTGGCGGCGCGGTGGCGGCGCGGCGGCGCTTTGCCCCTTCCCGTGCTGCGGGCGGCACGGCGGGGGAGGCTGACCTGCTCCCGCTCCGCCGACGCAGCCCGGCGCGGTGGCAGAGCGGGAGGCGGCGAGGGACGGGACGGGACGCGAGGCGGAGATGGCGGAGACCGGCTCCGTGCACGCCACCCGGTTCGAGGCGGCCGTGAAGGTGATCCAGAGCCTGCCCAAAAATGGTGAGTGCAGCCTGAGGACGGCGGGCGCGGCCGGCTGGGGTCTGTGCGGCGGGGGGCCGAGGGGGGAGCGGGGCCCCGTCCTGTCTGAAATAGCACCTTCCGAACTTGGGAAAGAAGTTCCTCCTGGAGGAGAGGTCTGCGGCTCCCCGCCGGCCCGCGGCTCTGTGCTGGGGAAGGGCCTTCCTCAGGTCCTGACTTGGTTTGGCAGCTTGGGAGCTGATGTCACATGGGATCCTTTTGCTGAAAGGTTTAACGGAACAGCAGAGCAAAACGTCAAAATGTATCCTTTTGGTCGCTGTGATAAGTAAAGATGGGTTTGTCAAGAGCTGGGACTAAAGGTTGTTGCTGGCATCCCTTAATGACAAAAATCCAGCCCCAGAATATTTGATTTAAAGGAGTAAGTATGAATTTTCTCTGCCAGTTATTGCAGTGTTGTGTTTGCGCTTCCTACCCCTACAAATCTTTGTTCTGTGAAGGAAGAGAAGAAAACAAGGAAGAGCGATGAGGCTGTGATTGGAAGTCCTGTCAAATAACAAGTAAACAAAAGCAATGCAGGAGGAGTTACTGTTGTTCTATTTTCTGGAGTCTTGGTAGATTCCTGTTTGCCATGTGAAAATGACCTGTGACATACTTTGTTACTGAAAGTGGAATCTGCCCCTTCAAACTAAGTGAAAGGAGCCTTGCTCTTTGTTACTTGTTACTCTTTGCTAATTGTGGATTCTGACCTTAGAAACAGTAAAGGTTATAGTCCCTTGTTTAATCTTCAGCTTGCTCTCTGTTTGTAAAGTAAATATTGTCAGCGTGGCTGACTCGAGTTAGATGAAGTGAAGATGTTTTTCATTGACTTAAACTGCACTGCTGTGAATGAAGCTGGAATAAACTGCAGGCTGTTTTCTGACAGAAATACTAAGCTTGCAAAATACTTGCTAACATACTTGATTATACTTTAATTGTATTTTAAAATGCTTTCACTAGGTTCTTTCCAGCCAACAAATGAAATGATGCTGAAGTTCTATAGCTTTTATAAGCAGGCAACACAAGGACCCTGTAATATTCCAAGACCTGGATTTTGGGATCCTATTGGTAGATATAAATGGTAACTTTTCATGACTTTTCTTTATACTTGGGTGGAGGTGTTAAGAGGAGTAGTTCTTGAAGGAATAATTTCTTTCTTTTTTTTTCTTTTTTTTTTTTTTTTTTTTTTTACATTTTCTTTTTTAATCTCTGTTACTTTGTTTTCCTTCTTATGTTTCAGATGATATTTTTCGAGGAGTTATAAACCATTGTAATGTTTCCAAACTGTATATCCACCCTGTAGAACAAAACTAGACAGTCTACACTGTGTAATGTAGAACAGTGTCTGAAATTCTTCTTCTTATATTATATAATATGAGAATGAAGTACATAGATGCTCACTAAAAGCTTTTGCTACAGCTTCAAGCTCTTGGGGTAGGTTTAGTTTGTGCCTGGTTCATGTGCTCAGTGACAGGACTTGCTGCTTATAGCATTTTTTTAGACTACAAGCCTTCTGAGAACTGTGAAGATCTGTCTGAGAACCTGTATGAACACTCCCCTAATTAAGTTATTTTAATAGTTTTCTTCTGAAAAGCAACTATTATAGCTGTCTCTATGGTCAGGGTCTTCTTGGGATCTGTGAAATGGGGAGAAGGTGTGTTTGCATGACTGGGACAGTAAGCTCCCACTCATCTGGCTGTTTGTGGCTGAAATGTGATCCCCAGCCTTGGGGTTTTTTGCTGTAAGTGGGACAAGTAGTCTGGCAAAAGGTAAGGATAGTGTCAAATCGAGTGCAGTTCTGGGTAAGGAAATGCTTTATTTCAGCCTGTGTTCTGGCATTCTTTTTGCAATGCTAAAAAGTTTGACGTTTTCTGTGTTGCAGGACTGGAAAGTTGGGTATTTTTTAGGTCAGGAGTTAACTACGGTGGTAGCTGGAGGCAGTGATTAAATTATTTGCCTTTTGGACAGGTGCATCTTTCCTTTGTTACTAAACTCAGGTGCAAAGGACGGCACACTTTTGTTGTAGCCTATTCTGACTTATTATTGACCAACTTATGACTTATTCTGGCAGATATTTGTAGGTGCCAGCTGAGTATTAGGCTTTTTTTTTTTCCTGTTGTCAAGGACCCTAAGTCAGTCAAAAGAAAGGGAAGTATGTGTTTTTCATAATATCTGGACTTGTAAACAACGTTACTGGGTACAAGATCATCATTGATTAGCTAGTCCCCAGGCTGTTCATTTTGTTTCTTCTGTATGTATGTCCCACTGCTTTAATTATCTTAGCAAATTACAAACTTGAATACAATAGCAGTTTGCAGTTTAAATTATTATTATTATTATTATTGTTGTTTTTTTTTTTTTTTTTTTTTTTAACATTTTACTTGTATGAGAGAAACTTTGAGCATTGTATAACTGGCCTATTTAAGGCTAAAAAAAAATCCTGTGGGCCTTTGAGTCTCTGAAGATGTGTGACTTTCTTTCCTAGGGATGCTTGGAGTGCCCTGGGAGATATGTCCAAAGAGGAAGCCATGATAGCTTATGTTGAAGAAATGAAAAAGGTAAATTTCTTAACAAGTGGAAGGTATCTTTTATGTTTCATGAGCTAAACTAGGAAATGTGAAGGGATTCTCAGTGAATGCTGTCAGAGCTCCAAATGAATTCTTCCTTTTATGAGCTGTTATGCCTTAGTAGTATGCTTTTTGGCCTGTGGGGCAAATAAAATTCTGTAGTTTCCTTCAAAGCTACTGTATTTGGGTTGGTTTGGGGGAAAAACAAGAGTTCTAGTTGATATGAAGCTTAAGTGACAGAGCTAAAGTAGTACTGAAGTATGAGCTAAGGTAGATGTTCAGAATTAAGGTCTCTTGTCTTTTCCTGAGTAACCCTTTGCTCTGCAACCCTTTACACTGTATCTACTTCAGGTAGCCTTTCCAGTTTAAATATATATTTTTCTTTTTTTTTTTTTTATAGTCACTCTGGATGAAGGTGTATCTGTAACTTAAAATGAGGTTAACACTAAGGCAAGGGAAATCTAAGTTTTACTCTGGATACACTTGTTTTTCCTCTTAGGACAGTATTTTAATAGTCTTAAATGTTTGCTGGAATACTTGGCACGATTGTTAATTGGTATAGCAAAAAACCTTTACTTGATATGGAGCTGGAATTCAACAACTATTTTTTCTATCTGTGATTTTGATTATTTTGTTCTCATTAGCAGTGCTGTTGCTGCTTCTAAATGAAAAATTTAAAACAAACAAACAACATAACCCTACTGCACCTCCAGAAAACAGAAGAGGCCATATGTTATTTATCTTATTTAGGTAAATTAAAAACAAAAATCCCCACTAAATTTTAAGTTTCTTTTGAATGCAGACCACAAGATTTAGTGCTTCCTTTCAAATCTCCTTTTTGAAATGCAGTGACACATCAGTAGTGCACTTGCTGTTTTCAATGCAGTAGTTGATTTGTCAGGATGCTGAAAATTGGGTGAAGTTGTGTTTGCACCGAGCAAATGCCTGAGTGAGTCTCCTGTGAGGAAGCCTGCTTACTTGACCCAAATGAAGCACAAATATTCTGCCTCTGTAGAGATCACGTGTAAGGATTGGAGAGCAAATGACTTCTTGCCTCATTCAGTTTTGAAACTAGGGATCTGTTTACTCTGCATTGCTGCTGCTTCAGCCCTGTCACTTGAAATGCTGGCTTTAGCTTTTCCAGGCTGATTTGTTTTACTTGAAACATCAGTAGAAGTGTGTTTCAAGTCCACTGGATTGTTCTATCAGTACCACGCTCATCTCCGTGGTGTTACTGCAGGTGCTCTGCTGCTGCATAGATACCCATGGTCAGGTTGGGAGGTGACCTCTGGATACTGATGTAACTTAAGGGTGTACCCTTGCTATGTTTCTCCCCATTCCACCACCATGGGATGTAACCCTAGGCTGCACGTGTCAGGTGACCCATTCACAACATTAACATTATTATTTGTTCGGTGGCTTTGGTGGTTTATTTTCCCTGGAACCCTGGAATGTGCCCAGAGAAGAGCAATGAAACTGGTGAGGGGTCTGGAGCACAAGTCTTATGAGGAGCGGCTGAGGGAGCTGGGATTGTTCAGTGTGGAGAAGAGGAGGCTCAGGGGAGACCTCACTGCACTGTACAACCTCCTGAAGGGAACTTGTGACGACAAGGGGTTTGGCCTCTTCTCCCAGGCAACAAACAGGACCCGAGGAAATGGCCACAAGTTGTGCTAGAGAAAGGTTAGACATAAGGAAGAACTTTTTCTCTCAGAGAGTGGTCAGGCACTGGAATGGCTGCCCAGGGAGGTGGTGAAGTCGCCGTCCCTGGCGGTGTTCAAGAGGCGTCTGGATGAGAAGCTGTGAGATATGGTTTAGTGCTTGTGGAGCAATGGTAGTGGGAGGACGGTTGGACTGGATGATCTTGCAGATATAGTTTCCAACCTTGTGAGTCTATGATTCTGAAGTGGCAGTGCTGAAAACTTCAGTTGTTGAGGAAGGTGTGTGGGTGAGATGTTGAGGTGCAGAGTGGCCATCCAGCATCTTAGTCCCTGCTGAGTGTGAGCTCAGGTGCATTTTGTTTAAGATAAATATCTGTTCCAAGTCACATTTCTGAAACTTCTATGTAGTAATACTGTTTAGATTAATGTACTTATACTTCAAGTAAATTATTGTATAGCATAGATACCACTACAGTGTTTTTAATTTAAAACAAGAATATTGATATGTGAACTGGCACCCAAAGAAATCACCAATCTAGAATTCATTTATGTCTTGCCTGTTTTCTTTGTTTTTTCTCTTGCCTAAAAGCTGTTGGCTTATGGTTCAGTTGACAAATGTAAATACCTACCATTTTTGTTGCTGTAGAGAGGTTTTCTTGTTTCTATCAATTGTTTTTTTTGTTGTTGTTGTTGTTGTTTATTTTTAAGAAAAAACAAGCCTTTCCTGTTTCTGGTTCATCTCTAGCTCGATAGCTGAGCACAGAGTATTTCTCACTTACAAATATAGAATGAATTATGTACACTAAATAGGTCAGAAGCGTCAGTGAAATTGCATTTTGGTAGGATCTTTGTCTCCTGGTATATTTGACTGGTTTGGAATAGACATGTTACCTGCTAGCCTGCCTGGAGCTTCTGCTTTGTGAAGGAGTAGCATTTGCTTCTGCTTCTGAGCAATGTGCTTGGTGCTTTTATGTGAGATGCATGCTCGTTGGCAACTTGTTCCTCCAATCTGTTCCTTTCCATTGCCCTTCTGAAGGAGGGAATGTACCATAGGTGGCAGTTTGCTTTGCTGTATTCTGTCCATTTTGTGTTGTGTGGTTTTTGTTTTGGTTTTTTTTTTTTTAGGGGGGGGGAGGTGGTTGGGGAGAGAGGTTCAGATGGACCTGGGAGAGTACTTTTGTCTGTGCCTTAGGTTCCACTGAAGATGACAGGGTCTGACCAACCAGAAGAATCCTCTGGCAAATAACTCTTTCAGTTTTATTTTCTTTGTGATTTATTTTTACTGATTGCCTTTCCACATCAGATAACAGCAGCCTGATGAACTTTGAGTTGGTTTACTTTGAAATTATTGAAATAATGGGTTCCAAAGTCTGCTAACACTTTGCTATAGCTGTCCCTTAGTGGGACGTGAGCTCTACTGTTTTGTCTTTGCCCACAAAAAGTTAATAAAGCTAATTAGGGTTCTTGTTAGGTTTGGTTTATGATGTTGTGGAGCTTTTTAAATAAATTTTTTAAAATAAATAAATCACAATAATATATTGAGAAATGCAGTGAAGTGTTACTAACTTGCCAGTGGATGACAGTTCGTAAAATTATTGAAATGGATGAATCATTGAAATGCTGTTTCATGAGGTACTTCATATTTTGGACTTGTGCAGATACTTGAGAGTATGCCAATGACGGACAAAGTTGAAGAATTACTGCAAGTAATAGGCCCGTTCTATGAAATAGTGGAAGATAAAAAGAACAGAGGATCTGGCCTAACCTCAGGTTCGAACAAATAACTTCCTTTGTGCTATTAATAATCACAACTCCAGCTTTTGGGAGGGAGGGGGGTGAGGCGCTTGTTTTCTGTAAGTGATTTTAAAGCTAAATGTTGCATCTTTCTGTTCATTCTCTCTACTATACGGCAGTTCGAATGGAGAAAGTATCTAAATACTTGGAAGGTAGGAATAAGAAATTATGGATAAGTCCATCTCTTCCATTGTTCTGGTGCTGTAGTAATTTCTTGCTAACACTTGTGACTTCTGGGTTTGTCACCTCGTTAGGCTGAATCTTCTATTTCTATTAAAAAATAGGTTAAAAAAAAAAATAAAAATAGAGTTAGACCCAGGAAGCTGTGTGTTTAGTTGTTATCTACGTGCTTTCTGAGCTGCTGAAGGAAAACTCTTCCTGAGGAAAGAAGCGTATTTAAAGCCAAATGTAGCTCTTGCTGTTCATTCATAAAAGGAATGACTGTTGGAAATGCATGCTGCTACACAGTAATGCACCTTTGTTATCTCATCTAAATTTTATTTAAAAAAAAAATAAAAAAATCTTCCTGAGTCAAAACCCACAGCTTTGTTAATCATGGTTTCATAACATCTTCAGAATACAAGATGAATTTGTGAAACTCTCAGGTTAACTTTCTGAGATTCAGATTTACAAGGGGAGTATCTTTTTAACCACTTTATGTTTCCAACAAGTGGCAAACCTAGCAGTGTGGCATAAAAATCAATGTGGTGCTTTAATTTGGCAATGCCATGTAAAAATGTTTTGGTAATGGTTTTTGTTAGAGGCAGTGTGCTCATAAGGTTGTGATATAAGCCTTAGTGATTTTTGAACTGTCTTCATTTCAGTGAAAACTGTTGAAATGCAAAAGGAGAAAACTTGTAACAGCTCTAGAACCGTTGCACAAATGAGTTTGATGTGCTTAACAGGCAGCAATGACTGGTGTCTTGTATGTGGGCCTTTTTCCCTTCTTAAGCAAACACAGTTTTTATTTGGTTTTGACGTGGAGTCTCAGAGGGAGGTAAATAGTTATTCATTCCATTTGGCTAAGGGCAATGGTTGAGGTTTTCAAGTGGCTGCTTTGAAACAGTAATTTTTAAGATTACGATTGCACATAGTTCATGTCAGGAGTTTAATGAGCTTGCCTGACGGCTAGATTGATAGGCAAGATTTTAAGAGTATCAGTAGATTCAGGTCAGTCAGCTGTGTAATAAGGATTTACTTACACTTAGTGTCTATGGCAAAGTGCCACAAGTGCCTTATTTAAAAAAAAAAAAAAAAGACTCAGGCAGAAAAAAGTTAGGATACTTATCTTTTAAGTTTATTACTGAAACAGGTATAGTTTGAAGATTCAGCATGAAGCACAAGGCAGTGTAAGTAAAATTGACACAGATTAGCCAACTTCAACTTTATTGCAACAGTAGCACAACGGGATAAATTTAATGATGTGTGATAAAGCACATACAACTTAAATCTGCAACTTCTAATTCTGCCACACTGAGTTACGACAATTTTTGTAGAATCCCATTGTTTTATCATAGAATGTTACGTTTACACTTAAGATTTTTGAAATGCTTTCTTCAGTGCTCATAATGCTGCCATGATGGAAAGTGAAGCTTCAAGTAATCAGTATTATTCATAGTGCAGGTCTTAAAATATTCCATAGGAGTATGGAGACACGGTTACATTCACTCTCCCAGATTCATTCTAAGGAGTTAAGCTGCTCTGCCCAAGTTTGCTTTGAAGTGGTGAGACACTGGTGACAGTACTCTTAAAAATGGATGCATTGTTATTTTTACTTGTGTTAGTTCTTGCAGTCTCCTCTGCCCTTGCTCTGTATAGCTTCTATTTTGGAAGTTGTTTTTTGTTGTCGTTTTTTAAGGCGCAGGTAATTTTTATGTCCTGGAAACTGGGCCCCTTCTCTTAGTTTTTTGTTTTTTTGTTTTTTTTTTTTTTGTATTGTACTCATTGTACTCTGTTCTCTTTTGGCCCATTTTGAATGAAGATTTGCCTTTTGCTTTTCCATCAGGCTTTTGTCTGAGTGACAATGACTATCCATCTATGTAAGAATTGCATGCTGCTTCCTAAAAAGTATGTCATCAATAAAGAATGTCATCTTGCTTCAACATCTGCTACCAGGCAATATGCATCTGATGTGTTATTGGCCTCTCAACAGAAGTGTAGCCTTTTAAAATTAAATTTCTACTCCTTGTGGTTTCTCTGTTAATGTTAAATGCAAACCATTGAAATAATGTCTTTTGAGTCAACAGAGCTTGTGGCTCACCTTAATGAGCAACCCTGAGGTTTCACATGCCAACATTAAAATGGCAGCTAAGAGAAAGTTGCCTCATTTATACGTTACAATCCCCAGGCTTGGTCTGTGCCATACCTCTGGGAAATCAGAAGAGGAGTTAGGAGGGGAGCATGGTTTTGTCCAGTAGACTATGTAGGTCTGAGGAATATTTCAAGAGTACATAACCTGGGCAATGTTCTGAAAGCTCAGACTGTGGCTGAGAAGCTGAGGCTCTTCAGATAATAGTCTTTGTGACAGGTAGAAAGTATTTTAAAGGGGGTAGGTGGGGGAAAAGACTAATTCAGGTCCATAAAATACAGTATGTCAAAGGAGAAACTGGACCCTTATCTGTCCTAGGGCTACAGAAGAAAGTGGGCAATTTTTGCTGTGCTAAAGAGGGATCCTTTTGTCTGTAGCTGGTGGTAGAGGTTTCAGGTCACTACCTGACAGGGACACTGCTGCTTTAGAAGAGCACCCTTAACACATATTTGCTAACAAATGAATGAGAAATCTGATGTCCAGCTCACTTCTAAAGAAGGCCAGCATTTAAAACACAGTTATATCAGTGAATCTCACTAAATAAAGTTGACCCTCTGCTGTTATGCTGAGCAGAAGTGTTCCTTATAAACCTTTGTGAAGACTAAATGTTGCCTTCAGCAATGACAAGTTATGCACTGTGGAGACAGGAAGGTTTCAGCATTGTAATACTTCTGTCATCCTGCTTAGTGTTTTTCTCCTGAGCCCTTTGCTCCCAGGTGCGTTGTAACTGCTGTAATTACAACTGTAATAAGCTCTGTTGAAGCACACTGTCTCTTACTCTGACTGACAGGCTACTTTTGGGCAGTGCTGATTGCAGTGTAGCTTTTTTTTTTTTTTTTCTTGCCTATACAGGGCACCACTTCAATAGCACCTGGTGTGAGAGGCAGAAGTTGCAGGCAGATACAGTTATTGAGCAGTTGCTTGGATGTGAGAGCTAAGCTTAGAAGACAGTATTCACTGAGGTATGCATGATGTTGGTACAAGTGAGTGCATCCATTCCAGTGCTTCTAGTTCAGGATGCAGGTAAGCTTAGGGGGGAATATTGCATTTAAAAGAAGTGAGTCTGCTCTTAATTATTAATTCTCAAAAACACTTTTCTTGCTCTTAAAACATAAAATACTTCCTAGCTGTGCTTCTGTGGATTGCGTATGATTAGTTTCTCTTTTTCAAATTGTTGCATTTTCTCAAAGAGCTCATCTCATTTTTAATACATTTGCTTTGTAATGAAGCATTTGGTGGCATGCTTTTCCTGCTTGTGTGTGGGCTTCTTGTGAAACACCCTCTGTTTGCTTTATAAGCTCAGTTTCTCATTTGTGCTTGACTTCAAAGATACTTGCTAAACTAATTTCCTTCCTCCTCCTTCCTCTTTCCTCACTAGGATTTTTAAGGAACTTAATGGCTATGAATCCCTAATGCTTTGTAAGAAGGGGGAAAATAACTGCGACCCCCGGTACTTCAGAATTGCTGTGCTTTAGTGGGATATCTGGAATGGATGGCTGTACCACAGTGATGAGGTGCATTAAAGCAGGGCGGGTGTAGGGCAGGAGAAGCTGTTGGGTGTTGAGAGAGGTTTTAAAGTTCTTTTTAAACTGTTTTTCCAGTTCTAGTCCCCTGTGATAAGCAACAGCTGTAATCAAGGTTCTGTCTAGATATTACGAATCGCTTATCCGTTGTGTGGATGACGAAGTGCTGGCGCAGATATCCCTTAGAGGTTGTGGAGTTACCTCTCTGGAGATCCTAAAAATCCTGGACGTGGCCCTGGGCACCCTGCTCCGGATGGCTCTTCTTGAGCAGGGGGTGGAACAGGTGGAACCAGAGCTCCCTGACAACCTCAGCTGTTCTGAGATTCTATGAAGGCTACAGATCATATTCATAGATGCAAAAATAAAATCCACACTAGCCTCTGTCTCAGCAGTTTAGCAGTTTACTTCCAAAACCATCTTGTACAAGGCAAACCCGACTGTACTGTGTTTCATGCTGGAACTGAATCAACAATAATAGCTTTTGTGTCTAATGAGTGTGGGTTAGTATTTTATGTACAACTTTATTATAAGAAAAATAATTACTTTAATCATAGTCTCAAATATGCATGGAAGAGCCATCAATTATCCATGAGGCTATGTTTAATATGGGTGAGAAAGGCTGTTGCTGTTCAGTTGCTAAGAGCAGGTTGCGGGGCACACAATCTTGATGTTATTTCCTGTGTAATTTTTTTTTTCTTGTACAAGGCAAGACAGTTTTTGATTGAAATTACTTTCCTGCTGACTGGACTATAGGTGACCCAGAAATAGATTCTTCTGTTGCTTTCAGGCCTAACTTGGTTTTCTTTATGGAGTTTTGATGCACTTTCTGGGACAAATGTGTGTTATTATATTCATGTGTACTTACATGTATCATCACACTAGTACATAAAACCCCTTTCTACTTCTTACACAACAAAAAATTTCCAAATATTGACTGTATCTCTTCCACACAGAAGAGAACATAGCAAATCCTGCTCATTCTCCCAGGGGAATGCAGTACCAGAGATGGGGACATCCTGGGTCTTGGAATTGCTGTTATTAAGAGCTCATATGAAATCTAAGAAGCAGCTATTTTTCACATTCATTCTTATTCCTGATCACTTTCTAAGATGTTGACAGTATGTTGGCAAAGCCTACGTTATTGTTCTCTCTGCACATGCACCCTGTAACTGATCTGCATGTGCTAGTGGCCCTGTATTTTGGGTGCCTGGTGCCTTATTGCATGGAACTGCCTGCCATTGTTGGGATTGCCTGCTGATCGGCTGCTGTCCTTACTGAGCTGCTCTCTGTCCAAAAATACAAGCAGGTTGTCTCTACTGGCTCAAGTCTCAAGCAGAGAAAGAAGAAAACCATGCATACGTCATTCAAATAAAACTCAGTAGCCTTATTTTTATGTGGAAAGTGCCCTGAAAATTCTGGGGAGTAAGTACCAGTGGTATGAATGGAGAAGAACTCCATTGATACTGAATGGAAGAAAAACGTAAAGTTCCAGGATGATTAAGTCAGTAATCCTCAGTGCATTCTTGCAAGTTAATAGTATGTATAAGAAGCTGCTCTTAATATTTATTTATCCGCAGATTGTTTTGGTATTTGTAAATGGCAAATAAAGACATGACTATTGTTTATGAAAATAAAATGGCATATATTTTTCTGTAACAGCTTGAGTAACACGTAAGAAGAGAGAGGAATGTGGACAAAAAAGGGTTGTGGTCATCTGGAGTAAATTAAAGAAAAAGGAGAGGCCTTTGTTCCTGCCATAGTGAAGTTCAGGAAGACTAAATTTAAAAAAAATGAAAACTGTATAGAGCAAAATCTGATGATCAAATAGAGTGATTAAAAGAATGGTAGTTAAGGGATTTTGTATTTTTGTCTTTATTTTTGGCATGCCCTCTTACCATCTTATTTGTGAGGACAGTTCATTAGTGTGTTGTAGAGCAGCTTTGTCCAAAGAGTGAAAGGAAACAAGGCAAACTAAGTCTTCTAGTTGAAGACAAGACTTCTCAATGCTTGCGTGTACCCTTTGTCCTTTTTTTTTCCCCTCAGAAAATAAATGAAGCTTCAGAAGCCATTGACTTCAGCAGTCTCTCCTCTGAGCTGCTCATTTGAGAGCTTCTTAGTGAAACCAATCTAGGCTAGTGGAGGTCTATTACTCATTTTAAGATGTGTTGTTTAAGTAAACACCGGCTTGAATGTTGTTAGCCTCATGTAGGGATAAAGGGTGAGCATAGGCTATGTCAGGCAGCACAGCTCCAGGTTGGAAAGGATGCATATCTATGCTTTGAACCACTTGTTAAAATACTACTTATAAGCTCAGTTCTGATGGAAAATCAGCTGTCGGTGCTGTTTCATAGACTGCTCAAAGAGACTTTTGGTTGGAAGGCTGTTATGAAAGGATAAATGTCAGAGGGATTTCCAAAGCATAGCTAAGCCCTGAAGCGTACTCCTTCCCCTGTGGTAAATGATCTCTCCTTGCAGCAATACAGTATGGGAACGCATCAGTTTCAAAAGGAAGGAGGAAATTTGTGAAACTAGATGAAGGAGAAGTGGCAGAGCATAGTTGTATAAACTTGGAATTGAAACAGGAAGCCTACGTGGATCAGCTACAAGCATGGAACATTGGGTTACGATGGCAAGAAAAGAATTCTGGTTACCTGATTATCAAAGGAACGATCAACATGATTTATATATACTGGTGTCTGGGGACTTGACACCCAAATTTGGACAGAGCATTAATTGATATGAATATAGTACAAAGTCCCTATGTAAGTTGCTATAAGCAAAAGTCATAGAAATCATTTTTTAGTAGCTAAGATTTTGCTACTTTCAAGCTGATGGAGTTATTCGTATTAAAAGCTACATTCCTCAAGGAGCAATTAGTGACCTACCCACAAGGCTGTGGAAATTGCTACCAGTTGGCTCTGATTAGGCTTTGGTGCGCATACCTCACAGAAGTAGAAGCAATTTGGGATGGACTTGGTGAGAGTAACACAGTAGGGATTCTGACAAGAAGTGCAGAATCAAGCATGGTATTTCAGTGAGGCCATGGCTTTGTACAATGTGCTGTGTCCTTTGGAGTCTGCATCAAAGCTGTGCCTCTGTGGTCTTCAGGAGCACTGTTGCTAAGAGTAACCTTGTGAAAGAAATATGATCCTGAGAGATTTTGTTTTTCAGGTGTTTCATGGCATACTGCTGTTACTCCTGATACTTTCCTTCAGTTTAAATCTTTAGGAGTTTAGAGTACATACAAGGAAAAAGCTTTTTTACAATAGGGTGGTGAGGCACTGGCATGGGTTGCCCAGAGAGGTGGTGGATGGCCTGTCCCTGAAGACACCCGCGGTCAGGCTGGATGGGGCTCTGAGCACCTGATCCAGTGTAGGTGTCCCTGTTCATTGCAGGGGAGTTGGGCCGGATGGCCTTTAATAGTCCTTTCCAACTCAAACCATTCTGTGATTCCATTTGAATAGGTGCAGTGTAGCACACAGAAGTTTCCCCAGATTAATAATCTCCATGCTGAAATAGAGTACTAAGAAAACATTTTCATGTTCAATAACGTTCCTCTTCAAAACCAAACAGAAGTAAATCTTAGGAAATACGTTGATGGTATGGTTGGGACTTTTTGCAATATGTCGGGCAGGGTGAGGAGGTTTTCAGTTTTTTAATCACCTGCCTTTATAGCTGGATGTGTCTCCAACTCTTGTTTTTCCTGTTCACTCCCACGGCTGGGTAAGGCGCTTGCATGTTTGCTTCCCACCCTGTTTTTATTTCAATGGAGAGGGTGATGCCTGCTTCTGCATTGCCAGCAAGCTGTCACTGTGCCTACTGCTCGTGCTGCAGAGGATGTCAGTGTTACGTTATCCTTCTTGCACTGTTTGTTCCCTGATAAACATCTCTAGATTTGAGATTTACAGTAAGCGAAAGATGCTTATGAGAAATAAACAGGGAATATGGTGGGAATCTCCTATGAAGTCTTTTTTTTTTTTTTTTTTTTTTTTTTTTTTTTTTTTT